CAGCACCGCCCGAGGAAAAAGGCGGGATTCATAGCTCAGAAGAGCAAAGGGAGAAGTGGGAAGGTCTGTATTCCCATCTCCCTGAGTCATTGCAAAACACCGGGGCTAAACCAAGGTTGCTAAAGCATCAGCTGCCTCCCAGCATGGGGAGCTTCAGATGAAGATAAGCTTGTGTTCACTTGCTCCTGCTGCGTCAACTGAGGTTTAAATCATTCACATTTTGGTTGTAATGACAGATGAAAGATACTTTACACTGCATAGAGTTCTCCTGTTATGAAAAGAGGGCTCTTGCATATTTTATAGCTTTGTCTTTCTGTTGGCTAGCTGCACGGCTTCCTTTTACCTAGCCGGGCAACTCCATTTACATTGAATTGGCATAGTTTCAAAGAGGTTTATTTTAACGAGGAATTGGGTAACTACGTTTTACAACTTCTTCAGTTGTTTTTAGTACGGCGACACTGAAGGAGGTTTCGTCAGTTCAGTGCCCCTTGACTCACGATGGTCTCTGTTAAGTCTGGCTGAAGATGGGGTAAATGTTTTAGTTCAGTTTGCTCATTACCATAAAAACAGGCGGGCTGCAAGTTACGACTGGATCCACTTACTCAACAGCAGGACTTTCCCAGTAACTCCTTTGTTCCCGGAGCTGATAACATTTACCTTGGGAAAAGAAGGTGCCAGCTATCCAAAGGTGATAGTTAAAAGAAATCCATCACTGAAAATAAAAAAACTTTGGATCTTTTTATTATGTTTGGAAGATGGATTTCTTTCTCTGCAATTTCTATCCAGCATCTCTCCACATTAATTTTCATTTATAAATTCAAATCCTATGGAATGTAGTAAAGCGTCAGTATTCCATTAGTCCACCAGCAATGCACCTTTTTTTTAAAAAAAAAATTAATTCTGTTCTCGCCCTGACTACCCCATCCCTCCACCTGGAAAGAGACACAGCACTGTTGACTTGACATTCCCTATTGAAAGAGTCATGTAAAATCATCTTGTGATGCCTGCTACAATCAGAAGGAGCAAAGGGAAGAGCAGGGTATAAACTGCCTTTACAGATAGGAAATAATACCCCATGGTCATATGACATAACCCTGGAATTAATGACCCATCAAGTACAAGTCCCTGCAGCAATTGCATTTTAGTCTGATAAATAGCATTGTATAAAAACTCTGAATGTTTTCTTGAATAAATCTAGTCAGAATGTAGTTTGTCATGACTAGATATATTTATTTGAATGCCTTTTTAAAGGCTTTTTGAAGGCAAGGTTGGATGGAGCTCTGAGCTCTGGTCCAGTGAAAGGTGTCCCTGCCCAAGGCAGAGAGGTTGGAATGAGATGACCTTTAAGGTCCCTCCAAACCCAAACCATTCTGTGATTCTATGATTAAAATTGGCTTCAAGACATGTGTAAGATATTTTTGTGATCCTCTGAAATTTTAGAAATACAACAAAAGGCTATAAGAAATACAATAAGGAAGAACTCTTATAGTACTAAGGCTGATTATAGTACATCAAAGCATTGGTCTGGATTTATAAATCCCTTACCTGTAATACACTGTGCTTCATTTAAGGTAAGAACTGTTTTTAAAGGGTATGGGGGAAGGCTTGTTCTTTTTCTTATTTAAAACTTATATATATAACTACCATTAAAAATTATACATAGTAAAATAATAATCAAGTCAGGCTCTTTGTAATAAAACACAGAAATGCTGAAGTCAGTCCTGTACCTTCCCATGACACATCTACTGTATGGTATAGCTCAACATTTAACTGTGGTTAAAACTGCTTCAGTGAGGGCTCATAATTAAGTGTTTTAATGTTTGTTTTTCCCAGTCATGAAGAAAAACTCAAATGATTTCTTGTTTAAAGAGAGGGGATTTTTGTTGAATGGGTGTTTTCCAGATTTCCTCATAAAATTAGTTTCTCTTTGGATCTGAGAGAAAGGCTTGTAACCTATTTGCACAACTTTTCCTGGGAGGAATTTTGAGTGAGTATAGGTAAAAAAAAGGTTATTTTTCTTCTGTAATGGAGAGTTAATCTCAGATTTGGCTTGTATCAATTTTTTACCTGAGACATCTGTCAGTGTTTCCAATGTACATACTTTTTACTTGATCCAGATCTTCTGTCCTCATGCAACATCCAGTGTTGCATCCATTTTCAAGCTGAACTCAAGGCCCTCTTCTTAAGGCCCCCCCCACTTAGCTTTACAGAACCTAAAGAAGTTTTGAATAAAAGAGAAACTCAATCTAAGGCATCTTAGCCTTGCAGCACATCTTGGTTTGTTCTGTGTGTCTGCACTGACACGGGACAACTTGACTGAGATGTTTGCAATGTGTTTCTACAACAGCAGTGTGCTATAAATAAATAAAATCCACTTTGCCAAATTGCCTAATGGAACACATTTTTCTGTGGGGTGGTGGGGTTTTGTAAGAATTCTTCATTTGTTGTTCAGGCCTTCAGAAATTACGATGCTGGCTTCTGAAGTCATGACATCTGGCACATAAACTGCATTTGGCACATCATTATCTTTGTGGTCATGTTCGTTTGCTTTCCGGTTTGGAGATTTGGGGGTTTTATGTGCCAGCTTCTGATTGTATCTGAAAGCATGGAGATTTCTAATATTATCCTCAATTTAGAGCTGAATCAGGGCTTTTAAATACTGTAGAGAATTATTTTTGTCCCTTAAACACTAAGGGAGATGCTGTCCTGGACACTGATCCTTGTTGGCAGCTGAAGAGTGCACAGGGAAAAGGCAGAGAGGAGCTGTTTGGGCAGTTTGTTCTGCTGGCTCCTCTCTTCACTGCAGTCAACACAAACCAAGGGCAGGTGGCACCAGTAGCCAGTGCTTGGCTTTCTTTTTATTCTCATAATTCAGCCCAGACTTGAAGGAGATAATTTCCTTAACAGCTGAGATAAAATCAGGTGGTTGATAATGCAGAAAGGCTGCTTACTCGCTATTGCAACACAACCTTTCCTTCTACTTCCTGCCTGTTGTTTTAAACTTAGATGGGAGGTTTGCATCCTAGACACCTTTATAGTACCTAGAACAATAGGATTCTGCTTTACACTACGGAACTGCTATACCAGCTTTCATTTTTGCCATATATAGATGATGTTGTGTAAGTGTCCAAGAGAAAAGTATAAAATGCCACTTTTCCCGAGTTTTACATTGTTTAAAGCTGTGTTTGGCCAGTAGAGCTGAGACATTTCTTTGCATTCAAGTGTAGCTGGACAAGCAGAGGGCAGAAGCCAAATCTGTCTTTCCAGGCTACGTAACCCTGGGTGTGGTTAAAAGATGAATTAACCACTTTTAAATCCCTGTTGGTGCCAAAAAGGATATCATTCTCAGCTTTGTGCTGCTGCCTTCTCCCCAGCAGGTTAGCACTGCTCCCCTCCCCCTGCAGCCAGCTGGGTTGGAGCCTCATCCTGATGAATACTTTTTTAGGAAGGTTCATTCTTAGGTACTTCATGTTGTGGCCATGTCACCAGGGGAGTAGTGCCAAGAGAGACATGGGCAGCAGGAATCAACACGTGGACAGGAGCAAATGAGAACTGCTGCCCCTTTGGGTGGCAGCTTTATCTGAATCTAAACCAGCCCTGCCTTTGAGCAAAACTATCTCTGGGTGGATTTTCATAGTGAAGGCAAGGAATAGAAAAAAATGGTGATAAAACAGGGATTTTTGTGTGTGCCAAAGATCTTCCCTATTTGGAAAACATCTTGATCTGGTTTTGTTTTTCTGTACAATTAAAAGGTGACATGCAGGACTCCAAGCTACATTTCAGCCTGTGCAAGGGTGAGGGTAAAAAGGTCCAAGGTACATGAATCTGTGCAGATGTGCTGATCACCAGTCCAGTAAGAGATGGAGGGGAGGTGACAGAGGGAGGTGCAGCTTTTAGTCACCTTTGATGACATCAGAAAAAACCACAATAGTTCTCTGTGTTGCAATGTGCTTGGCATTGGTTTCTGTGCATTGGTTTTCTAATCTGAGAGCAAAAATAGTTCAGATAATTGCTTGTTTTGGCTGACTCGGCAGATTAAAATCTCTTCTGTCTTTTTCATGGGACTTTCCTAAAGGAAGTAACACAACCTCTGCAGACAAAACATTCTTTACAAGGTGTGAAACAAGCAGGGAAGTTTTGGTTCAAGTGACCACAGTCTGATTCATAGCAAGGTTGGGTTTGGGGATCCCCCCTGGCACTCTGGAAGTGATATGTGGCTTTTGTCTCCTCATTCCTGTAGTTTCAGGCTCTGTAAACCAGCTATTTAGGAAACTTTTAGAAAAGGTATGTTTTTCAAAGTGTTACATCGATTTTCTCATTATGCTGGCAAAGTTCCTCTCATTTTGCCAATGGAAGTACACAAGAAACACCAAATAATTCTGTGACTTACCATTCACACCTGCAGAAATACTACTTGTTTCTGGCAGCCAGCATCACAGAACAGACACCAGAGCAAATTACTCTGTCTTTTACTTGCTCTCTTTCCCCATATCTTTTAAGCTTTCAAATTGCCTGCTTTGTGCATTGCAGTGACACTCAGAATAGAGATGTTACCACTTGGTAGAATTAGGAGAAGGATCTCATTCCTGATTCTAGCCAAAGCTCATGATTTAATCAAGGCAATATTTCTTTCAGAGGCATTAGTCCTAACAGGGCTTTGGCTCTGGTTCTTGAGCAGTGCTGTAATCTGCTTGGAAGTCAAATATCTCAACTATGAGGTATTTACTGTGTGGCTGTCAAATGTGCTATAAACTTAGAGCTCTTACAAATCAGCTTTGTACCAATGCTCTGTGTGCAAAAATAGCTGTTTTGGGCCCTTGATATTAAAAAAATAATACTAATAAATCCTTTTTAAAGTCTGTTTCCATCAAAGGGTGATATTCTCCAATGTTGCTCCTTCTGGTTTTCTCTGTATGCATCAAAAACCAATGGCTTAATGGTTTAGGGGTTTTTTTACCTTTTTACTGTGAAATTATGCCTCTTTTTTCTTTTCTTTGTAGGTAACAGAGACTTTGCTCCTGATGATCCACTGGAATTTAAGTCTCATCAGTGGTTTGGAGCCTCTGTGAGATCCCAAAATGACAAAATTCTGGTAGGTCTTTGATGCCCTTTGATGTATCAGTACTGAGATATTGCCATGGAAGAAAATGCAAAGAGATCCAGATAACTTCAAATTTAAACAAAATCCCACTAATCTGCATGAACTGTCTTTTCTTCAGAATTTCTTAGCTATGCTTTGCTTAACTCTTTATAAACAAAGGTTGGAGCATTTTTTCTAGTCTTAAGGAAAGTAGTAAAACTAGTTTGATGAAGTTAGACTGTGTTACAAATTCTTGATAAACACTTCACAGCTATTGCTTTAAGAAAATATTATTTCTAAAATTCTTGATATAAATTAGCTATATAAAAATACAAATTGATGGTAATTCTGCCCCACTGAGATATATACTATCTCCTCTAAGATGACAAGATACATCTGCCAGGTTTTTTTGTTGCTTTTCTGTAGAAAATTGGAATTTCATTGTATTATTTGATACCCACCAGCATTTTGTAGAGGAATTTGTTTCCTCACTGCTGTGTGTTCTTCCTTAGGCCTGTGCCCCACTGTACCACTGGAGAACTGAAACAAAACAAGAGAGAGAGCCTGTAGGAACTTGTTACCTGCTTGCTGGGTCAAAATTTGTGGAATATGCTCCCTGCAGGTCAAGTAAGTATAGGGCTCTTATGTTGATTTTCTCTTTGGAATTCCTCTTGTGTCACATTTTGTGTACATTTTGGAGCAGGATCTTTTACAGCTATTTCTCCCTTACATGTAGAGGAATTAGATCAAAACTTTCAAACTAGATTCAGAGTTCTGAATTCTCCTCCAGTTGAGGTTCATTATGCAGACCTTGTTTTCTCTGCTGTAGGCCAGAGGAAAATCTTAGGTCCAAGTATCATTGCACTTGAGGACTTGTGTTGTTGAAGGGCCCAATTCTGTAGTGATCACTCAAGCAAAATTATATAGCAAGTGTTTTTTCAAAGACCAGATCTAGAATTTTTATGAACCTCAAGTATTTTGTCATTATTCAAGTACATTAAGGTGCAAACTCATTTTAGAAGACAGCTCATTTTAGGTTTTGCAGAAATAGGTTCTGATGTCCCTGTGTGCATCCACGTGTAGTGATGCATTGTTTCAATTATATTAACTGTTGAACATTTGGAGTCTTATTTTCCAAATGCTTTGCATTTATTTCCTCTAGTTGGGCTGATAGATTATTCAGAAGTTTTTAACCTAAAACTTGAATGTTGAAGTTAGGTTTGACTTTTTCTTTGCTGAAAATCATTTGTGAGCAGCAGGAATAAAATTCAGCCTGGTCCAGCATAATAAGAATTTAAATAAGTAAATATTAAACAAAATCATGCTAGTTAAGCTGTCACATTTTCAGATAAGGAGCTTCCAGCATTTCTACTCTGAAGCTGTCTAATCCTAAAATGGATTCAGTCATAACAATTCTTGCTGGGATGAGTCCCAGTAAAGAGAGATTTTTTTTTAGCCAGGTATGCTCTTTTTGTTTTAAGCCAATTCAGCTTTCTTTTCCATACAAAAAAAAAAAAAGTATCCCCTCTTTTCCAGATATCTTATTTCCTGAATAGAAATTGCAAATATATTTTCCCCAAGACTTTTGAAGATTAAATACAAAGGAATATGTGGCTGCTTTTTGCTTTGACTGTGCTAGGCTAGAACATGTGCTAATGTTCTATGTCTATTAGGCCAGCCCTGAAGTTGTTACAGCATTTGGCTGGGAGTTGTTATAAAGAGAAAATAACTGATTAAGGAGAAAAATATTCCAAGGTTCAAGTTTAGGAGTGCAAGTTTACATAGGAAGATGCATTGAAAAGTATCTGCAGAATCAACTGATTAAATACTGATAACATTTAATTGATTGATTTTTCTCCTCTTTCTTTTCTATCCTTTTTTTCTTTGGTAGCAACTATTGATGCAGATGGACAGGGATTTTGTCAAGGTGGATTTAGCATTGACTTTACAAAGGTATGTGATTTTTTGGTCTTTTTTTTTGGTCATTGTGGGCCAGCAGACAGCTGCAAGTTCACAAACACTCCTGAAACAGAGCACTTAGAAGCACAGCTGTTATGAAACCAAAAGTTACTGCTCCTGGCAGGAAGTGAACCCACAACCAAACCAAATTTATAAATAAACCACTCAAAGAGCTCTTATAAACCTGCTTCTCCCTACATCTTCACAGCAGCACACTTTCACCTCTTGTAGGAACCATGTCCTGAACAAATAATCTGCTTTCTCAGCTTCCTGCCATAGCCCTGTGCTGCAGCTGGACCTCAAGTGAATTCAGCTGTTAACAGTCAGGATTTTTGAGACATGGCATTGGTGCATAGCTAGTGTTACTTCTTGAGGAATAACAGCTCAGGGAACTGCTAAAAAATGTGCCTGTGAATCATGTGTGATTTTCTCAGCAGTACAGGGGTTTTTTACTGACTTGTTTCTTCTACTTTTGTGTTCTCCCTCCCTGTTCTAGTTCTTTTCTTTTTCAAATTCACAATTACTTTTGAAATCCAAGGACAGTACAACAGTGCACAGATCTGAGAATGTACTATAGTGTTTTATATTGCACAGTGAAATTGTTGAGCAGAGTCAGGATGTGTTAAGACCATGCAAGCCCTATTTGTGATGTGGCTTTTTTTGGGTTCTCACATTTCAGGATGAGGTCATATCCCATCACTCTTTGCCCAGGGCCACTCTTGGTTTTCCTCCAGAGGAAACTGCCAAGTGCAGGATAGGACTGTGAATTTTTGGGTTATTTTGTACACACCCTCAGATTCACCAAGCAGATTCCAGGCCCGGTTAAAACCAACTTGGGGCTCTAATCCAAAACCTCAGAGTGGGCAAGCCAGGGTGTATCTCCAAATGTCTGACCAAATTTTTCTGAGTGGTGAGTATAGGAGTTTTTAGGATTAAAACCTGAATAAGTGACTTAATTATACAGCAAAGCCTATGGCCTAACTCAATCCTTACAGAGCAAATTCCCAACCCCGGGATAGCTAATGTGGTTAAAGTTTCATAAAATGGTTTGTGAATTGCAGTTGTGCCAAGAAATATGGAGTGGGGGAATTACATCACAGTTATTCTGAATTAAGCTTTTTTAATGATAAGTTAACAGAAAATGGCAGAGACAGATGACACTATTTTGTGTACTGATCTAAAAACATGATACAACACTGAGTTTTCTCCTAATTGTATTCCTGTTGCCATACATTTATGGGAGAAGAAGAGTCTATTACAATAAAAACAAAATTCTGCCTAGCATTCTAAATGAGTGAAATAGTCACTGAAAGGTTCTGGACAGCATTTTACAAATTGCATTTCTAATTAATCACTCCTTCAAAAAGGAAAATATGTGGTGGTCAGCAGAGCTAGTGATGTATATGCATGGAATTTCTTCCCACAAACACAGGATGTGTTGTCTGGCTTTAGATGTGTTTCATGTTTTTAATTTTTATTTCTGTCTTCTTTTTTTTATTCCCTTCCAAGGGAGACAGGGTGCTGCTTGGAGGACCTGGAAGTTTTTACTGGCAAGGTGAGATATATTATTTAAGTCACAGAGAAGCTGACCTGTATGATTTTTCTCTTGATCCTCTTAGTCATTTTGATCCACACTCTTCCAGCTGCTGTCAGAGTCTTTGTCAGTAAGAAAATTGACAGAAATGTTCCTTTGTCTTTAAGAATATCTCCTGAATAATCAAGGCAACCACAGATAAAGGTTGTAGTAATAGATAAAGATGTCCTCTGTGTTTTAAATAACTCCATGATCATTATACAGGCATTTTCCCTGGAACTTGGGATTTGTTTTCATCAGCAGGATAAATTTCCTTTAGCATATTTTGTTTTGCTATCTAAGTGCTTTATAATCTGACACACAAAGTGTGCATTTTCAGTGAGCAATATCCCCTCTAAAGAGACTCCCATTTGTTTTCCTCTGATGACAAAGATGTTTTGCATTTGTATTAATTGGTTTGTGCCGTGGGGCACATTTTACCTGTATACTTTGCTCATGTGGGATTCAGCTGGTGTTTGTTTGCAGGATTATTCAGCATTTAACTGCAGCTCTCTGTTCAAAGGAGGGTGCTGCTGTAATCAGGACACTTGCCAAACTCTGCTGCCTGCTTTCTAATGTAACTTCTAACATTTATTAATACATTTTCTGTATCATGCCAGCCTACATGTAGGGTGCAGCAGCACAGGAGGCTGTGTTTTAAATTACAAACAAAATTGAATGATTGAAGCTAAACTGCAGATACAATATAATATAAATTAGGTTCCTGTATTCATTTTATTGCTTTTTTGGCAAAAGTGACACTTCATCTGCCAAAACAATCTTATCCTCTTCTATTACCAAAAAAGCCCACTTGGCTCTGAATAGAAGACAATAGTATACTTCTGAGAAAGAAATTTTTCATCCTAAACTTTTATTCCACATCCTGAGATGCTGCAGAAGGAGTATTCCATTCAGTTCACACACCTATGAATGTGTAGGTGAAGTAAGTGCCATTTTGAATGGGGTTTTTTGGTGATTCAAGTTTTCATTTAAACTCGAAGAATGTAATGGAGTCACCACCTAGTGGCTGATGAAGTGAAAATGGAGAGAATGGCGATACACTGTGCTCATCTCATTTTTGTTTATTTTATTGGCTTCTTGTCTGCCAAAACAGGTTCTTCTGTTGTGGTATTGGAGCAAGGAGCACCCAAAGGGCTCAGTTCTGCACAGCCATAAGCATGAGATACCTCAACACTGCATTTTAGGTCCTGTCTTAATGTAGGATGGGCCTCTGTTTTCAGTGGGAATACTGTGTGTGCCTTTGATTCAATATGTGCACAGGTTTTTGCTGAAGTAGGATCCATATTTCCCCATTTTATTTTTGTGTCCTTCCTGGCACTGCTGCAGCTGGTCCCTTCCTGCTCGGTGTTGTGCAAGAGCTGCTGCTTTCGAGGGCAGCATTCTGCAAATGAGTCACTTCAGTGAATGAGTTCACAAATCCTGCTTGTGCTTCTAAGCTGTTTTCTCTCTCTTTAGGCCAGCTTATTTCTGATCGAGTGACAGAGATTGTGGCCAAGTACGACTCCAAAGTCTACAGTACAAAGTATGATGAGCAGTTAGCAACCAGACCTGCCAGTGCTGCTTTTGATGACAGCTACTTGGGTACGTGGTGGGAAATGAGAAACGTCCACCTGGAACACTCCCTGCCACTATTGATGCCTACATCTAAATCACACAGCTAATAATTCAACATCCAACAGATAACAAGAGAGTGACATTCCTGAAAATGCAGTCATTTACATAGGATGGGATTGTAGTTATTTATTGTAGCTATTTTGCCGTGGGCTTGACTCAAAAAGCACCTGATGACAAAATAGATGGAAATGTTTTCATGATTTTTTCTGTGCTCTGTGATTCAGGCTGAATATGGGATGGCAAAGGCATGATTTTCATATGAGAGGTTAGTCACATAGATGGGTGTTTGTTTGTTATTTAAAAGCAACTGTTTCTAAATAACCTACCGAAACAAAATAAAAATGTCAAAGAATTATGTTCTGGAAGGAAAATGAGGAGTGGGAAATCATCATTTTGCTTCATGTATGTTTAACCAGGCTCAGGAAAAAAGCAAGGATATACCAGGACAATTCCCAGGATGATAATTTTAAAATTTTTATCTTCTGATCTCAAATTCCTGGATACTGATGAATTACAGCCACTCATGGAGCTCTTCATAGTCTAAGCTGAGTCGAGGCAATATTTATACCAGTGCATTTCAAGATGAAGAGAGGAGGACTGTGCACAGAGACACCTGTGAGAAGTGTAAAGATAGATTAAAGGTTGTAATAAGGTTTTTAAAAGTTTTCATCTTGTCTCTGCAGGTTATTCAGTGGCTGTTGGAGACTTCAATGGTGATGGCATTGAAGGTAAGCCCCTTGCTCCAGTAAGAACATCATGTAAATAGGCTGGGCAGATCTTTCAAATCATTGGCACAGTGCACAGGGAAATGCACCAAGAGCTAGGAGTGAGCTGCTCTGTTCAACAAAGTCACTGTGCTTTGGGACCTGACTGTTATCTGTGTCTTGCTTTCTGTTTCAGACTTTGTATCAGGAGTCCCACGAGCAGCAAGAACTCTGGGCATGGTAAAAAACTTGAAACATTAAAATTTATAATAAATAAAAGGTGACTATTGCTGTTATGCTGTAATGTGTATTTCTTCATGTGCAGGTGTCCATTTACAATGGGAAAAACATGTCTTCCATGTACAACTTCACTGGAGAGCAGGTGTGTGGCTTTGCTGAGTGTGGTGGGTGACCAGGAAACCTTTCCTCTGTTGCAACAGCATTTAGGATACTAGATAATAGTCTGTGTGTTACTGGCTTGATTGCCAAAGCAGAATTTTACAAAGTCTGAGGGAATTCTAATCTTATTAAAATAAAGAAAATGCTGCCTTGGGGAAGAGACTGGATCATGAAAGGGGAAATGGGAAAAGTAACCAATGGGTTTACTTTCTAACAGAGTGTGGAATAGAAACAAGAAAGAAAGGAACAAAACCAAATTTGGCATATATTATCATCTCCCTGATGTATTTTGTGTACAGATTTGTGTATATTTGTTTATGTTTCTATCACTACAACTCAGAGATTTGGTTTGAATTTTGTTTTCCAGATGGCTGCCTATTTTGGGTATTCAGTGGCTGCCACAGATATCGACGGAGACAAGTAAGTGTCCTCTCCTCCCTCTTCTTACCAATGCCACCCAACTTCTTTCTGGAAAGAAAAACCTAGCTTTTATTAAAAGGTCTTTCCTACAATCTAGATTTCTGTCTTCATTGCTGGTTTAACACATCTGCACGACTCTTTCTAACACTCCACATTTGTTTTAACTTCTGTAGGTTTGTTTTTGTATTTATCTACATAAATACATGTGTATATTCATATGCTTAAGGTCATTAAATTTTTGTGTAGTGCTTTGTCAGTGCATTCAGTTGAACTTAAAGATAGTTAACTTTCATCTGAGTGTTGACTTCAGGGCTGAGTTAACAGAAGAACGAATTTTCATGCTGCTACTGAAGAGCTCTGTCCTTTTCTGCTCCAGTTACACAGACCTGTTTATTGGAGCCCCTCTTTTTATGGATCGAAGCTCAGATGGGAAGCTTCAGGAGGTTGGCCAAGTAACCATGTGCCTTCAGCGAGCCTCGGGAGGGTTTCACACAGCCAGGCTGAACGGCTTCGAGATCTTCGCGAGGTTCGGCAGCTCCATCGCACCCCTGGGGGACCTGGATCAGGATGGATTCAACGGTAGGATGTGGATTCCTGCTCACATCTCCTGCTTGTGGAGGGAACCAGGCAGCACAGAGCATGGGGATGCTGCACACAAACACTGGGTGATGTGGCTGTGGCCGAGTGTGGGACACTGAGGTCTAGACTCCTTTCGATGCTTGTATGCTACTCCCAGGAATGCTAACAGGAGTTCCATGGATGCATCGAGCAGAGACTAAACCATGGACTGCTTTAGCTCCTACACTGACCACTTCATTGCTGCCTAAGTCATGACCACAATAGAAACTTCAGTAAAATACCTCACTCTCCACTGTAACCTACTAGGACATCTCTGATATAATTTTCCTCTTCCCATTGTTTAATGAAAATTTTCCTCTCTAGAAACACAACAATGACAGAAAAGAAGGTTTTATTTCAGATTGCTGGTTAAAAATGTTCATATAAAAAAAGATTTTCTTGAGAAAAGTGCAGGCTTTGGTTTTTTTAATTATTCAAAATGGGAGATTTTGGTGGAAATAGCAGCTATAGCCAGATGTACCAAGAGCTGAGTGTCTTAAGTGTGTAAATGGAAGAGAAGTTTGAGTCTGACACAACTGGAGCTGAGAACTCTCAAACCCTTTGCCCAAGCTTCTTGTTACTTTCTAATAGGAATGGAGGGCAATGAAGCAGACAAGAATTATGTAGTGTTGGGATAAGGATTTCCAGGAATCCTCAAGAGAACATGTTTTAATGCCCATTATACTCCAGTGTTGCCTAGAGTAGTGGAATTTGAGTTCCACCAGAAATCTTCATTTTTTTCCAAACTGCTTGCAAGCTAAGTATTTTCTGTAAGATCACAAATTACAATAGATGGTTACTTCAAATTCCTAGCTAGCTCTAATTTATTTTTGATGAAGTCATAAATTCATAGTGTAGACCTTTTCAGTTGCTAACTGGATGTAGAATCAGTGTGAAGATGCAATATCACTGCAACTATTTACAGAAGATATTGGACAGCTGATAGCCAAAATTCCAATCACTTGATGAGATTATCCCAAATATTTTTTGATTCCACCATACTTACATTTGAAATACACTGTAGGAAAGCGAGTCATAACAAAAGCTACCTCCTTTTAATTGCTTTGCTGTTATTTAGTCTGTTCGTTTGCTCTGCCTTATTTTGAGAGTGTTAATTAAAATATTTTCAATCACAGTATGGTGCAAGATAGGAATTTTTACTGTCTTCATGAAGTTTGTAAATAGGAGAAATATAATTATTCCAAGTAGTTTTTTATGTTAGGTCCTTTAACTGTCTGTGGAAATGTTGAAATTACATCATGTGTACACTTCTGAAGCTGTCCATGCAGATATTCTAATTAGCATTTTCTTTCTTACTGTTTATTAGTCATTAACAGTGAATACTTTTAAATTTAGGAGATAGAATAACTGCACTAAGTGGAAGTTCTCCATAAAGCATGCTGCCAAGCCATGACTGGGATAGACTGGATTTTAATATTTACCATTATTTGGTTTGGGATGATTTAAATTTTCCAGAATTATTAACGTGTCCCACCCTTTGGAGGAACATGAGCATATAAGTGAAATGGGAAAAGAATCACACTTAGTTTTGTGGTTTGGCACCCACAGTGACTAACTCTGCTTGTTTTAATAATCTCAAAAGCATTCCAAATCCATACAATTTTACTGCAAGTCAGTCACTAACGTGCAGAAGTGTTTGTACAACTATTTCTCTCCTTCCTCTCCCCATAAAACGCTGTGACATGTTCTTTTAAACATTTTCTAGAAAGAAACAGCTTCCAATAATAAAAGAAAAAACAGAACAAATAAAAGGAGCAATAAACGAACAAATGTTGACAAGCATTTTAAAGGCTGGTTGCATTTCCTCCCTACTGACACACATTGAAATTGTAATATCAGAAATTATTGATTGATGTGAGCACAAATATATTCTAGTTTGTGTCTGGAGATGTTGATGATCCTTCTTTTGGTTTTCAGATATTGCAATTGCTGCACCTTATGGTGGAGAAGACAAGAGAGGGCTTGTGTATATCTACAATGGAGGAGCAAGTGGTTTGAATGCCATGCCATCCCAGATCCTGGAAGGACAGTGGGCTGCTCGCACTATGCCCCCCAGCTTTGGGTACTCGCTGAAAGGAGCCACAGATGTGGACAAAAATGGATATCCAGGTCCTCTGCTCCAAATGGCACTTTACAGTGACTCAGTAGCAGCCTCACCTCTGAGAAACAGCCTATTTCAAAAAGCAAATTGTAATGTGTAATATGTCTCCTCTCTCTCTAGACTTGATTGTTGGAGCCTTTGGTGTTGACACAGCTGTTCTGTACAGGTAAGGGTCCCTCTGTGCTTGTACCTGAGTGAAAGCTGAGTGGAGTTCTGGAGCTACAAAAGAAAGCAGGGTCAGGGAAGTCTGAAACTCTGCCACTCCACTATCCAAACCTCTGGAGGTAAAAAAACACTATTCTGCTTTTTTTACTGAGTAAATCTATCTGCTGTCTAAAATTCATCTTTCTCAATAATATGTAATGAGGAGAAAACGTAAATAAGCTGTCTTCAAGGCTTTCTGAGTGACAGTTCTCTAGATTCCAACACAACAGCTGAAAGCTATTACAGTACAATCCCAATATTCTCTTTCCAGCTTGTTTATTTTGGGAGAATGTATTGGTCTGTGCTATAAGTAGGTAGGACTTCCTCTTTACACAGTTGTCCATGTTGTGGCTGATGGAAATGAAAGGGCACAGAAAAGCTTCATCTAGTCAATGGTTATTTGTTTTTCTTGTGGTTTCACTAAATATTGTGTGTCTGTGCATATTGCACAATTTGATGGGGGGGGGAGCATTGTCAAACATGGTGTTGAGTGCTCTTCAAGAGGATGTTTTCTTTGCAGGGCTAGACCAGTTATTAGAGTAAATGCTGCCCTGGAAGTTAGTCCAACCATTTTAAACCCAGAAAACAAAGCCTGTTCACTGGGAGATGTAAAAGTTTCTTGGTAAGTAGAGTATCTATGTTTTCCTTTGAGGGGAGGGATTTCTTGGGTTTTAATTTTGTAAGCTTCCAATTTTAAAAGGTCTCAGGAAGTGTAGTCAGCTTATTAAAAAAAAAAAAAAAAAAGACAAACACAACTTTTCTGAAAGAGCAGGCAATACAAAATAAGAAATCTGACAGCAGATGGAGGACCAGCATTGTCTTTAGTAGATGCCAAACTGACTCCCAAAAGCTGCAGAGACTGCCAGTTGTCCCTGTTGAGCAGAGTAAGGTTTTCCCAAGATGCCAGCACATCACAGGGTATTTGCAGTGTTTTTACCCACTAATGTAAACACTTGGGCAATGATCTGCTCTGTAAACTGGTTTTGCTTCTGGTTCCCAGGCTATTATCCAAACCCACTTTCCCTTCCTACTGCTGACTTTCTTTTCAGGGTCAGTATGATAGCTTTAAAAATAAGATCCATTTGACTACAGAAATAAACATTCCAGTCCACAGGTGATTGTCCCTAGACAAATGAAGACTCCAAAGCTTTGCATTGCCTGCAATTCTGTCTCCTTATTAATAGATTATAGTTTCTCTCCCATCAGTAGAAAATAGCTTTTGGAAATGAGCTAGAGTGTCAAAAAGAGGATACATCTGAACAGAAATAAATAGTGAGGAATTTTAGAAGAAAATGAGAGAAAAAGTGTGTGAAATTAATTTATTTTTCCTCTCAAACAGCTTCAAAGTAAAGTTCTGCTTGAAAGCGGATGGCAAAGGAAAGCTCCCGAACACACTCAGTAAGTTCTGCCCATTTAGAAATTGGGAGTCTTGTTGTATTGTTTGCAGACATGAGCACTGGTCATTGTTATTTTCATGACAAACAGCTGGGTGCCCTTTGCAGCACACTGCTGCCACTTGGGTGGCAGGTACATCCGTGGTTCTTGGGGCTGTAGTAGTGTAGAGGTCATTTGACCATCCCTGAGACTTTAAACACGTGTTCAGCTATGTGGTTAACTAGTCTTGGAAAGGCCTTTGTACTTGTCAGAATTTACAGCAACTCTCATTGAGGGGAGTTTTAGACAAGAATATTCAAGTGTGTGCATTGTTAGGCCTGAGAGATACAGACAAGCCACAGGAACTTGTCACATTTGGTTGAGATCATGACTTTCTGATTGATATCACTGACTTTTTTCATCAGATTCTCAGATCAGAATCAGGAAAAGATGGTTTCAAACAAGTCTTTAAGTTATCCCCAAGAGATTTTGTAGTGTGGCAAGCAGCCTGCTGCAATCAGGTTTTGTCTATTGATTGCAAAATCTTTTCCTTATTTTCTATTGCAGGAGTGGTGCGATCTGGGAAGGCTCATATAAATATCTGTTCTGTATTTTAAGTTTTGTTTTCTATATCAAATATTTAAAGTAATTAGATTAGCAGTAATATTTAAAAATACAAGCGTTATGTGCAAGATTGCTTTAGATTTTCTAGGGGAAAAAATCTAACTTTAGTTCTTGCAGTTCTACAACAATTACAAATTATAAATATATCTGTGTTACATATTTCCAATGTTTAAGGAAAAAGCAGAACCCAACTTAGGGCAGCAGCAGTGCTTGAGAACTAATGTAGTGACAGATTTCACATGGAAAGAACTGGAAGATTTAGGAGGGGCAAGCATTAGGTTTTCATTGTAGTTGAAATCAGTGTTCAGCTCCATTTCTGAGGGCAATCTGCACTGAGTTTAATGGAATGAAATATCCCTGACCCAAACCGTTTGGCTTGGATTTGCAGATTTCCAGGTGGAGCTGCTGTTGGACAAACTGAAGCAGAAAGGAGCCATAAGGAGAGCTCTCTTTCTCCACAGCAAACAGCCCAGCCACTCCAAGAACATGACAATTACAAAGGGGGGCAAAATGAACTGTGAGGAGCTTGATGCCTTCTTGAGGGTAAGTAGCCATTAATATTTTGGCAAATAATTTTTGGTGTGTTTTCTATTATAAGTTCATTGTGTTAGGTGTTAAAATACTAGAGAAACTTCATTTTCAGTGGATAGACCTGAAATTACTAAACCCATATGTCTGTCCTGAATTACTGCTGCTGTCACTGGATGAATCTTATTGTGGCTAAGGTCCTGGTCCCTAAATGCATTGGAAATTCAATTCAGAACTTTGTTCTGGACTTCTTGGATAAGTCATCCAAGCACCAAATTAGTTATAGTTTCCAAGGAACATGAAAGTCAATAAGCAGTGGTTGTCCCATCTACTTTGGAGGTTAAAATTTGAAGAAAAAGCTGTGGCTAATGTAAAGCTAAGAGATGGTTTGTAAGTTCTCTGAAAGGCAGGATCAACATTTGATAAACAGAATGATTTCAAATGAACAACATGAAGGTCAGCAATTTCCTAGTGCCAAGTCCTAATTTTAGGAAGGAAAAATTGTAAGTACAAAGATGAGGGATGTTAGAAGCAGGCTGAGGTTGGTCTGACAGGAAAGAGCAGAGTTGTGTAGCCCTCAGGCTACTTGTCACTGGATTTCCATGACTTAATATTTCTGTATGCTCCAGTTTTCCATTTGTTAAACAGGCATGTTACTACTAAAATTGTGCAGGTTTTGACAATGACGTTTTCTACTTTGAAAGGAGCTCAGAAGTTTTAATGTTGTTTTGGCCTCTCCATTCCTACTACATTTTAATTGTGATTCAAATGTTTGGTTTCCTCAGGATGAATCTGAGTTCAGAGACAAGCTGACTCCCATCACTATTTTTATGGAATATCGTCTGGATTACAGAACAGCTGCAGATGCAACAGGATTGACCCCTATCCTCAACCAGTTCACTCCTGCTAACATGAGCAGACAGGTACACTGCTTACACAGCCTGTGAGGAGACAACTCTGAACATACTTTGGTTCATCTTAGGGAGAAAATCAGTTAGAGTTGTACTGGAAGTGTTAACATTGAAGGCTTGGAGTGTTTCATCCCTTCTCATACTCTGCTGCTCTATGTACATTATGTTTTCCCCTATTGCTCTGTTAAGGTAATAGACATAGTTTTTCTGTTTCTGCCCTTTTTACAAATCTTTACACTTGTTTGTAATGAGGATAGTAAAGATGCAACTTAATATGAAGAGTTTATTCCAAGTATGGAAAGATGGTTAAGGTGTAAACATCAGTCCTAGAATTCTAGTGGGGCAGGACGAGGCTTAGTGTCCCCCACATATAAAAACTCATTTGTTCTCTTCTGAGACTACTGACATGAAAATATTTCATAACCAGCTATGTAGAATTTTTTTTATGTGATAGTGAAACAGTATTATTGGAAATGTATGTTAGAACAGATGAAGGAATTGTTACAACAGTATGTGTTTGATTTCTGCATAGGCCCATATTCTGCTGGATTGTGGGGATGATAATATCTGCAAACCAAAGCTGGAGGTGTCAGTAGAAAGGTAAATACACGACGAAAATACAACCAGGAAAAGCAATTTCCCTACTTGAAATCTAAAATTCAGTAGCTGGTAATACTTTTGTTTAAGGGATGTGTTGAAATAAGTAGGATTCCTCATTGTATAGGATCTAAACTCAGGCTTAAATGCTTTAAAGAAAACCTATTTTCTGCTCTGTAACCCAATGTCTTTATCATGTAATGCACCACACCCACCCCAACCTCCTCTATAGGTAGGCCATATTTATTTATTTATTTGCTAAGCTGGACATGTATAGTGAGAATAAACCACTGCTAGCTGCAATTGTATCTCTGTTCTGTTGTTTAATATTAGATAGACACAAAAAAATGTGATTTTTATCCAGCAAGAGGAGGAGTAGGGCTCTCTTATCACATGTATGAAAAAAATTGCTGATATTGGTAGTATCTTTTACCAAACCTGGAAAAAAGAAACAAATTTTCAGTGGTAACTCGTTCATGAGTCTGAGCTTTTTGTACTTTGTGTGGCCTAAAACCTCTCTTACTGTATTATCTCATAATCTGTTTTTTAATGCATTATAGCACACTGTATGTAGATAGGACACTTCACAAGCACTAATTCATACAAACACTTCAGTAACATTTTACATCAGTGCAGATACCTTGATGTTTGCTTGTAGTAGATGAAACGAAAATACATTGTTTGCCAATATCGTCTTTTTATATCTGGAACCAAAGATATTGCAGACATCTTGGCTCTATTCTGTGTAGTTGAGCTTTCCCTTGAGTTTTATTATAAATATGAGCTTATACCACTGCAAAGTGGGCCTGTAATTCAAAATGTACACAGGGATTTAACTGTTGATAATTTTTTTTTGTGGTACATTTTACATGAAAGGTTCTTACAAAAGAACATGTAATACTTGCTCCATTTATGATTAGAGATGTAGGGTTTTTTTAAAAGTACCTTAGAGCTCTCTTCATACTCCTGAAGCAAAGGTGCTGCCCCCAGATTTCTCCAATGTCTGTGAAATTTCAGAATGTCTCTTGTTTCTCTAAGTTCAGCCGCTTCAATGCCATTTAAAACCCGGATGCAGAGCTCATTTTTACTCTGTTTTCTTGTAGTGATCAGAAGCAGATCTACATTGGTGATGACAATCCCTTGACCCTCATTGTCAGTGCTCAGAACCAGGGGGAGGGAGCCTATGAAGCAGAACTCTTTGTTGTGGTTCCACCCCAAGCAGATTTCATCGGAGTTGTTCGTAACAATGAGGTAAAATTCCAGCTGCTTTTGAGGAGTCATATTTCAGGTGCTGCTGTGGAAATATGTAATGGTTTCTATTATTTCAGTCTTAGAGCAAAGAAAGCATAGAAAAAGTGATCAGTTTTTTCAAAGCCCTCTCTTTTATAGCCTTGAAAACTGGTCTGCCTTACATAAAAAAACATTTTTGTCCTTGGAGACTTCCATACTCAGATTTTATTTCATTATAGTACTTGACTGTGTTATGGCTGAGAAATGATATTAAAATTAATACAGCATATCTAGGACTTCTCTCCAGACTTTCATCCAGGTGTTCAGATGTAAAGAATGACATTCCTTAGTCTTTCTTCCTGGTTTATTGCAGGCTTTAGCCAGACTGTCATGTGCTTTTAAAACAGAGAATCAGACTCGCTTGGTGGTTTGTGACCTGGGAAATCCCATGAAAGCAGGAACCAAGGTAAGGTTTGGTGCCTGGTAGCTCACCCAGGAGGGCAGGTGACATTTTCTTTAATCACAGCTGTGTTTGGGCAGGAAGTTTCCTCAAAGGAATTTAAGATTAGATCTGACATTTAGCTGCCCACGTTTGGTTAGCACAGTGGTAGTTGGTTTCAACTTTTCAGCTAAATTAAAGGCTGAAAGCAGTGCTTTATGATGCAACTCAAAATGAGTGGTTCATTAAATAGTGGAATTAATGGACTTTGGTTCATCATTAATTTTTTTATATTTATCTGATATGTGTTTTTTAGGAAATAATCAAGAGCTGGCCCTCAACACTTCTTTCTCTTAATTCATCTCTTTTCTTCCTACTTTCATGAGGAAGGACAGAGTTTTGTCTAGTTGAAACCTCTACAGTTCCACAAAATGTAGCTCAAATTGGAAGAATTAAAAAATCATCAGTGAGACCTGGCAGATTTTAAGGTGTTATGACATAGTAAGTCTTATTTTCTGAGGAAATGAAGTGAAAATCAGTCAGAATTATAACAATTTCGTGATGCTTTTCTTCCAAGAGCCATTTTCTATAGACGAATAAATGCTATTTCCAAAGTCTTTTGAAGTGTATCCAGCTGAACTGCACAGATGTTAAAGGAAATATGAACTGACTTAGACCAAATCTTGGGAAATAATTTTTACTCTTTAATGTGTTCCCCAGTCTTTAGATTACAACACTTTTTGCAACACCAGGGGAGGCTCAGTTTTGTGTAGAAATGGCTGAAGTAAGGGTGGGGAGCATGATGCAATCCTTATTTTGTATTTTATGGCAGTGATGGCTTGGCTGTAATCTAAGAGAGAGCAGTTTATTTCCAGCCTGGATGAACTGGACAACTTTAATTTGTCACTTTTCTGTGTGTGTTCTCTCATCACCGGGAGTCTCAATCAATTTCCTTGTAGTCTAATAGCACTGAGAAGTTTTTATTGTGTGTTTTATTGTATCTCCAACTGAACCACAGTGGTTTTTTTTCCCCAGCTCTTAGCTGGCCTGCGTTTCAGTGTGCACCAGCAGTCTGAGATGGACACCTCTGTCAAGTTTGACTTGCAAATCCGGAGGTATGGAAGTCTCTGAATATGCACCTTACCCGGGAGAAGACACACACAGTAAATAGGCTGTACACAGTATTATCACTCTGGCCTAATCCTCTTGTCTTTGCCTTGTCATGGCTTGAAAAATAAACACAATTAATTTGGTTTCCTAAAATAGAGGAAAAATACATAAGAATATTTGTACGTGCATATCATTGTGCTCTGCTGGCATTTGTGGTGCCACAGAATGACTTTGGGTTTACAGCCCTCTTTCAAAACTGATGCTTCAACTCTGAATTCCTTCTGATGTAAAGCCAGAATTTTCTGTATTTAGAGGAGGAGAGCCTTTTAAGGCAGGCAATGGGGTAGTCTGAGCAGAAGCAACATGCAGTGAACCATCACAGCAGCCAGCCTAAAAGAGCCTGAAAATTAAATGGAAACAAAACAGTAGTGTTCCCGTTAATTATCAGATGAGCACAGCACTGTCATATACATCTGATATATAAATCTGAATTTGTAACTTCTGGAGATGACATTTAAGGTCAGAGATGTGATCATTAAGAGTATCTTTACCCAATGAACTTTTATGTTACTTTTAATGGACAGTATGAATACAGCTATTTTGTTTTTTCCCCGGTGTGGACCAAAAGCACTTTTTTTTTTCCCCATTTAAGGGCTTTTTTTTTTTTTTTAATGTAGTGAATAAATTAATCTCATCCACATATCATTTGTCATCTCTGGGAATTAGGAAAGATTAAAGCTGCCATTCTATTTTAATGATAGAGTGGTTTGCCATACCCATTAAAGGCCTTGGCACATGAAATATCTCTTTGATCTCCCGTTGCTCTCTGTTCAGATTTTCCCCTTCTCCATCAGCTGGTAAGGTGTGCATGTGAGTGTTCTTTGCAGGAAGTGATCTACTCTGGGGTGTCTGTCACCTTTCCATGGCTAACGGCAGCCATCTGCCACTGTGACTGGGCCAGAAACAGTCAGTGAGGTTGCTCAAGTCATGCTTGTCTCCTGATGGAAGAGAAGGGAAATTCCTGAAGTGTTTTAGGCCTTTTAAGGAAGAAAATTCCTTCCATGACTCGTGGATGCAAGAAGAGTGAAGTGTGGTGCAATGGAACACAGTAATCACAGTTCATAGTGACAGGCATTACCGGGGGATTTTGTGGGAGAGGTTTTAAGGATCACACTGCTTTTCTTAAACTGCCAAAGCTAGATTTCCAATGCTGGCTCAGTTCCTAGCAGAGCAGGTCCAGTGTCTAAAAGAGTGAGGTATTTACAGCTCAGGAGGAAAGCACTGTTGCATGTGTTTGTTGATTGCAGCAGCAGTGAAGAATAATTAGAAGATTCAAGAAGGTCTTTGTAAAGCAAAGTGTTTGGTTAGGGAGACAGAATAATCAGACGTGCTGAAGGAGTGAAGACTCTGCTCCCAGCACCACTTTGAGGGAGGAGCATCCCCTGTATTTTCTGACATGACAGCTGTGTAACAGGGTCAGCATCAGCTCTGTGTCCTTCACCAACCTGTCCTGCTAAGGCTCCCCCAAACTGTGCAAAGGGTGGGACTTCCATGCATTCAGGTGAGAATTTGCTGGAATCTGCTCCTTAGATTTTAGTAATTGTGCTTTCCTACAGTGGTTCAGGAGTCATGCTATGATGTTACATACAATTACTTTGAAGTGTGGAGGGTTTTTTTTTATTAAATACTCTGCTTATTTCATTTAAGAATTTACCTTTTATTTTCCCTGCAGTTCCAACCTGTATGACAACCTGAGCCCAGTAGCATATTATCAGGCTGACCTTGCTATTTTAGCAGCTGTTGAAATTAGAGGGTAAGAAATATTATTTTAATAAACACTTTTAAGGAGCTTTGCACATTTGCTTCTTTATATTCACTGAACTTCCTTTCAGGTCTGTATAAGTTTTCAGGAAGGTTTGGGGAATTTTTAATCATAAAGACAATATGGTTCTCTCTAACCAGCCTTTGGACTTTTGGATATTAAATAATTCTAAATAATTACAAAATGAATTCCAAAAAGGAGTATTGTGCCTCTATTACTAGAGATATTTTTAGAGGAAATAAAAATCGCCCCTCTTGTTTGCAGTTTTACATTTCTGCAGGTCACTTTTCTCCTCCACAAACTGACTGAGTTTTTCATCTGAAAACCCCTGAAACCAAAGTTGAAGATTTTATGGAATTTAAGTTTGTAATGTCCTCACCTTCTTCAGTCTTAAGTGTAGTTTTAATATTGTAATGACTTGGTTACTCCATCACCTCGACTTCCCACCTAAAAGTCCTCTTGCTTTACCAGTTAACTTGGGTTCCTGAGTCATATTTTTAAAATTTTCCACTACATTCATTATTGTGATGAATTTATTATAGGGGGAGAGGGAGTGGCACACTGGAAAAGCATGATTGGTATCTTCACTGTATCAGGGCTTAGGAATTAGACCTGTACTGCTAAGGTTCTACATCACCAATATTTCTCATTATCACAGTATTTCACACTGGTTTTGCTTGGAGGACATGTGTGTCTTTAATAATTTTTTAATGAAGAGAACAGAACTGAATATTTAATATTTAAACCATTTCTGTTCAAGTATTGTATAAAGGATAAAGAAGTGGAGATAGTATTTTAAGCATGTTGCTATTTTTTTTCTTTAGATGTTCTAGAGAATGACATTTCCTGTTTCATACTTGCTAATAACAACTCCTTTTCTCTGCTGTTTAGTGTGTCATCTCCTGATCACATATTCCTCCCCATTGCAAACTGGCAGCCAAAGGACAATCCCCAAACAGAAGATGATATTGGGCCTCTAGTTCAGCATATCTATGAGGTGTGGAATTACTGATGACCATTACAGACATGGTGCTGTGATAAATGAAAATAAATCTTTTGGTGTAGCTTTTCTCTGGAATAAATTAGGATTTTTTTTTTCTTTTGCCTTGCATGTAAAGAGAGATTTTTTTTTTTAATGCTGGGCCAATAACTGGTATATCCAAGAAGGGTTGGAATGCCTGCAATTAGTGTAACAGGGGTTGATTACCCACATAACTACACATATTTTATTTTATTGCCTTTTGAAATCTAGCTCAAACATTTGAAGTAATTTGAGCTCAGGAAATGGCTCCTGGCTGTAAATTATTGTACTCTATCTGTTCTGAATCACTACTCTGAAGCCTTTTGCTGTGAAAACATTTAAGTATTTAAAATTTCCTTAAAAGAATTATCACAGATTTAATCTAGATTGTTTAATTAAGCAAAACTTAGCAAGACAGCTATGTGAATAATAATAGTTAAAAGTTTTACCACTTTTAGGTAAAGTTTTGATGCTGTTGCCATAAGTGGTTGGGGGTGGGGGTAGTGGCAGTATCACATTTGTGGCTTAAATGTAAAGTAACAACTATATGCACATTAACAGAGAATGTAGCATTATTTTTTAAAGTATATTTTTAATATATTTTTTATACTTTTTTCTATCTGTAAATTGTATTTTCATAATCAGCTGAGAAACAATGGCCCAAGTGCATTCAGCAAGGTGATGATGACTCTGCAGTGGCCTTACAAATATAAAAACAACACACTGTTGTATATTATGCAATATGACATTGATGGTCCCATGAACTGCACTTCTGACATGGAAATCAACCCACTGAAAATTAAGGTAAGCAGGACTTTCCCTTTGAGTGGAATGAAGTATGTTTGGCTGTTTTGTAAATATTCAAAATAACCAAATCCCTGAGAATATGACAAGCTGAGATAGTTTTTCATCTGTGGCTGATGAACAAGTCTACACTTTTCCACAGTACATGTCAATGTACATAGCAAGTGAAATAAAAGGTAAACAGCAGCTCAAAATTGTCAGCTCAGAGATCAATTTGTCTTGTTTCTTTTTATTGTGAGGTTTTCTTCTTTTTTTTTTTCAATTTATTTTTTAACTTCAAAGCTGTTTTATATGAGTTCTAAGTCCAAAGCAAATAGAATTGTAATGAATGTGGTCATGAACTAAAACCTGAAATATACCAGATGCTTTGTGGACTGTTTATCTAAATTTTCTGGGTTTTGTTTATTGGAAGAAAATTATATTCTTTTTTATATTACATTTATCTATTTATCTAATTGGATAAATTAATCCAAATTGGATGAATTTATCTATTCATCCAAAGGTCAGAAAGGACAATAAGGGTTAGCTATCACTGCCAGCAAAACATGGAATTTACAGAGCAGAAGAAACTCCTTTTTCCTGGGCTGGACTAGGTAAAGAAGCACCAGATAAAACCCAGCAAGTTTAATTGAGTGTACAGAGTTAATTTCTAGGATAGTTTAGAACAAGAAATAAAAGTCAGTATGTTAGTTCATGAAGAATTTGAGCAAAAAAAGGACTGAGGGAAGATATTCACTGTATGGAACAATGAAGAATACTTAGGCATCTTTGATAAGCAAAAAGCAACTTCAGTGAATATATAAATACAAAGTTCCTGTGCTTCTGCTCTACAATTTGCAATGCTTTATTTTCAGTCAGGATCTGAAGAATAGCTAGGATAGAAAGAGAGAAACTTGCAGTTAAGTGTTTTCCTGACCTTGAGCTTGAAGTCTGCAGTTAACTAAATCATTGTTTGGGTTCCCTTGGTGTATCCCAGATTTCTGCTTCCAAGGATGATGACAGGAATGAAACACTTGGCAGGGAGGACCATCGTGACCACCACGTCAGCAGGAGGGATTTGGCTGCCGTGGAGGGGGACGTGCACACTCTGGTGAGCTCTCAGCACTGAGGTGTGATCCCGTGCTCTTTTAAGTCCTTCAAAACAAACGTAAGGAAGATTTGTCCTTTCTAAACATGATTGGAAATAATCTGTAATAGGAAGTAAACATATTGCCATATCACTGTAACTGCAAACAAGCAATTATCCAATACTGGAGGTTATTTAATGCATTTTAATAGTTTATAGTGCTTTGCCAGTGTGGGTATATGGGTGAAGTAATCCCATTGAGGAGACTTTTCAAATATTTTCATACTTGGAATATCCTTCCTATTTTTTTACACAGGGCTGTGGAAATGCTGACTGTTTAAAAATTGTCTGTCAAGTTGGCCACCTGGAAAGGGGAAAGAGTGCAATATTGTATTTAAAATCACGCCTTTGGACCCAAACTTTCATGAATGTGAGTGACTGTGAATATTCTGTCACTGTTTCTGAAACATTAAAAGTGATTTTTATACCCCCATGCAATACTAATTTTGTTTTTTCTTACACAGAAAGAAAATCAGAATCATTCCTACTCTCTCAAATCATCTGCTTCTTTCAGTGTCATAGAGTTCCCTTATAAGAACCTTTCCTTTGAAGATATTCACAATTCTACAGTAGTAAGTCATTTACATCCAGCTTGAGTTGCCATATACAAACACTTCAAAATTAGTGCAAAGATAGTTATTGTTGAGTAACGTTTTTATGACTTGGTATAATTTTAATTTTATCAGCTATTTGTTTCGTGTATTTATTTCAGTTGTACACATACAGTTGAGGGTAAAACAGACTGGAGTTGACAATATTTGAGGCTTGAAAGGCTTAACTGAAAGTGAAAAAAATGATGGTGAGCAGTCCCCATGTTCTGTTAATGCCATTGTTAGAGAAATATTTTACTTGAAATTTGTTTTCAACTGTAGTAGCACTTAGAGCTTTAATAATGACCTTCCATTATATTACATGTAGCACTATGTGAGGGTGGAACAAAAAAACCTTCTGGGTTTCAAAGGGAAAGGAGACAGGGTGCAAACAGAAAAGAAGATACAGGCCACTTGTTTGGGCTGGCAAATTGGAAGTTTTTGGTAAGCATTATAGGATTAAGAGATCTTAAGGAAAAGGTAGAAAAGGATTATGATTGGCTTATTTTTGAATCTGGTTTCCAGTGCCTGTTATTAACTGGGGTTTTTCTCTCCCAAGCCTTGTGGACTTGATTTTTTGTTTCAAAAAGTACTGCCTTTTAAGAAAAGGAAAAAAAAAAAAAAAAAGGAAAAGCCCTTAATTATTTTTCTCTTATTCCAAAATATTTCCAGATTCCTACAGTTTTACTGAAAATCATCATGAATTACAGAAGGCATGTTGCCATGTTATCACTGATTGCAAAAAAGCAAACCCAGGCAAAACAATCCCCAGCCTCCTCCTATAATTTAATTTTAAAATCATATTAAATTTGGGTCAGTGAAGTCTTTATGTCACCAAGAATCTATGGCTTTTGATTAATTCTGGAGAGAAAAAGTAATTTATAGTGGATTAAGATTATAATCATGATAGGATAAAGGTATGCAAGATTTAAACTTAATGGATGAACTCAGCATGTCACCGTGGTGCAAAGTGTGATTTATTGTGTTTTTCTATCAGGTTGCTACAAATATTACATGGGGCATTCAACCACAGCCCATGCCTGTGCCAGTGTGGGTTATAATTTTGGCTGTCCTAGCAGGGTTACTGCTCCTGGCTGTTCTAGTGTTTGTCATGTACAGGGTAAGTATTGTGTCTGGGGGATTTTGTACCATTTGCTTTTCCCTACTAGTGATGTATTATTTCATACAGTACCAGCACTTTGCAGAAATGTCTTGATGACCTAATCATCTGAATCACTTAAGTTTTTGGAATAACTGTAAAAGCTTTTCAGCCTTGTCAGGAAGAAGCTGAATAAATAAAAGAGCATGCCTGTGATAGTGCTGAACTCAGTTTAATTTTTCAACTCATATTTACTGTCTTTGGAGATCTGAAATGAGGGAAGAGAGTAAGAGTGAAAAGACCACTTAATAAGATCTGATCATGAAGGGAAGAGAAAGGATGTGTGTATGTTTTGCAAATCACAATTCAATTTCTTAATTGTTCTCTGAATCACAGATGGGCTTTTTCAAACGTGTGAGGCCACCTCAGGAAGAACAAGAAAGAGAACAGCTGCAACCACACGAGAATGGGGAAGGAACATCAGAAGCTTAAGCAGAGTTTTATCTGTAAGACATTCTGAAATGCACACTTGCCTACATCTTGGTTACAAATATTGGCTTCCCCCTTTATAAACAAGCACTCACCACTGCAGAGCTGCTGGTCTTGGAAGGCATCAGCACGTGCAAAACAAGGGCAATACACTTCAATCCTCCCTCCTGTGTTAATCCTGTTCTTACCTGCCACTAACGCATCTGTACTGACCCTGTGTGACAAACTCAAGAGTAGAGCTGGGATTTTGCTTACTGGCATACAGGAAACATCATCTTTTCTGGTTCATGTACTGACTCTCCATGAATTGCTATGCTGATTCTGCATTTGCTCCTGGAGCCAACAGCCTCCAAGGTGCTTGCTGCATTACATGTTTAATTTTGGTTGGTTTTTGCTAGAGTACACTACGTTTCATTGCCTAGCTCTTGAAAGTCAGTTGCACAAAAAAAAAAATGAATGTAGATTGTTTTACAGTACTGCAGAATGTTCTTTATCCATTAGCTGTGATGATGATTTTTTCCTCCTGCTCAAGAAATAGGAAACATTCAGTGGAATCATTGACACCTGATACCTGTTCTGCACACCTGTTCCCCTGCCTACTCAGTCATCTGTTTTGTGGTTTTCCCCTAGACCTTACAAATACTGTTCTCCAGGTCCTGGATCTCTTACTGTAGGGATTGAGCCTGCAAACACCAAGTGACTGATAGAAATGTAGGGCTGATGTACTTTCTGTAGGACTTGGGGAAAAGATTCAGGGCAAGATCCCAAGACTCTGCTGTGTATTTCCACAGCGCGGGATCCAGGTGTTCCACCGAGTTCTTTGGAACTCTGGATTGTATTTACTTGGATTGTATTTCAGTTTCTAGCAGAACACTGGAGGGACACTGTGTGACAGGTTACTGGTGCACTGTAGGGAGCTGTTAATCCTCACTTTTCCTGCTTGACCATGCCCAAGTGAAGGATGGAGTGACACAGGGGCTGTCCAGACTAGGCTCTCTGCCAGCCACATCCATGGATCTGGATTACACCTGTGCTTTCTCACACCTCCATCAGCTCCTGTCCTCAGAGAACAGTGAGTCCAATGAAACAGGGAAGAGCTGGCAGTGCACAAGGGTTTGAAAAGTAAAGGTTGATTTGGTTTGTTTCATTTCACTCACTCATTGCTTCATTGGCTTGTTTCATTTGATTCATTCGTTGTTTCAGTCACTGCATGTTTCATTGCACGAGACATTTCATTGCACAAGACATTTCATTATGTTCAATGCATTTCATTACCAGAAAAGACACTAAGTACTTTGATTCATTGTTGTTTTTTGAACATACCAAAAGGTCAGTGGTTTAAAGCCAGGGGTTGACATCACTCAGTTTATTTCCCTCACCACTGGTGTAGTAAAAGGAAACTTCTTACACTGATTGACACAAGAGCATTGTCTATGCATTTCAGTAGACAAGTAACTGCAGAGAAGGAGTTTGTTCACCTTGCAGCCACAGGTTGCACAGATCCTAGAGTGGACATACTTAAACCATTACTAAGGTGCCTTCTATGAGATGTGTTTATTCTCTTTTCCAAAAAGGGAATAAATTGCAATATAAACTCCCTGTGTGCAGCCAGATACACAAAGGAAGACATCTACTGTACTTACACCAGTGAGATTTCTATGTAGACAAGCTCTTAAAAGGGCAAAAACTCTGGTTTGGGTTTGTACCTTGGGGTTTTTGTTCATAGCTGCATCTCCCCCATAAATACAGCAGTGCCCACTAAACCCAGAATTTTCTGAAACGAGCAGTTTGTTTCAACTCTCATTTCTGCATCCTTTCGGAGATTTAAAATCCACCAATGGCTTTTATTGTTAAGTCCATTCTTACTTGCTGATCCATGATGGCATCTGAGTCCTTAAGGGAGACAGCACAGAGTCTGGGAGGCCAGTATGTTCACCAGATATAGGCTTGCATATTTATCCATTTACATGGGTTGGGTTTAGACAGCTTGCTCAGATAAAATTAGTTTACATGAAAGGGTATAGGGCATGATTCTGCTTTCAAGGTCTTCAGTGTGGCCAATGTTTTATTTTTGTTCTTTTTTTAAATATTGTTACTAGTGATGTAGTAGAGAATCAGGAGTCAGGCTTTGATCCTGGCCTCAAAATGTGACTTTGATAGAACAGCATTTTCAGTTACTTACATGGGCTTGTGGTTCTCACACTTTATCAGCTGATTATTTATGTGCAAGGAGATTGGTTTTACCCAGTCTTAATCTTAGTAGTGTAAGAGGTTTAAGAGACTGCCAGACAGATTATAGCTCTAATTCCTACATGTGTGCTTTCATTACATGTACACTCCATGGTGACTTGAAATTTCTTAGACTACTTGCATGTGTAGGCATTATTAGGAGATGAAAAAGAGGATTTAAAAAAAAAAGCACGGTCAAGATCCCTCCTGCTCACATGGATGGGATCCCATAGCATTGCTCATGTCAGTGCTAACTGCATTCTGATTTTGCTGTGGCAACTGGAAACTCATTTTGCTGATTTTCAGGATAAGAAGGTACATTTTATTGGTACAACTACTGTAGCTATGGAAAGTATCTTCCATTTTTGAAGTTACATAAAGTAAGACTTATTTAAGTGATTTTTATTTCTTGCCTTCTACTAGAGAATGAAAGCAAATAGTTGCTTCTTCCACGTCCATTAATTTCCAGTTTGGATAAAAAGACCACAGTAGCATATGTAAATGGAGTACACAGGTTACTTAGCATAGATGTAACATCTCAAATTCAAAGTAACATTTGTGTTTCACGGAGATTCCAAGCTGGAAATTTTCATGAATGGGGGTGCAGGAAACTTTTGATAGCGTGTTCTAGACTCAGCAATAAGATTCTAGATTGTGTATGTACTTGTGTCAATATAAATTTCATATTGACTTACAGGCATTGGTGCATTCTTACAGCAAGTACTGTAGAATGATGTTAAAACTTTTAAAGAAATTTTAGAAAGGTATTTTAGAATGAAATTAATGCCTTTGAGTCAAAATTGTATGTATAAGATGCATACTGGAAGCATTTAAAAAATACAAATACAGTAACAGAGAATTAGTTTTCTTCTGAGAGCTATGTTTCAGGAGCAGATTTTTAATGAATATAAAATCAACAGCTATGTAATTATTTAGACAATAAAAACATTTTAAAAGAGCTGTATCTTTTATAATGAAATATGAAATAAGTACTCCAGTTTGCAATTAATGCAGCATCTCATGATCAATATTGAAAAGTGATTTATATTACAGAATGCTATCTGTTACTATATTTGACAATATTTAGAAAATGTAAAGCAAGGAACCTAGTTTATAGGTTTACATATCTTTCAGAAAACTATGAAATTGTGGAAATACCTTTTGTTTAGGCATGGCTCTGAAGTCAAATATGGGCTATATTTATCAACGTAATTTGAAATCTTTGAGTAAGTTTGCCAAGTTATCCGGGGTTTTTCTGTTTTAGATCTTGATTTACACATTGATTTCTAATTCACATAATGCTTGTGGAAACTTTCTAAAATTTACTACATGTGCTCTTTCTTTATAAAACATTTACTCCAAGCAAAGGTATGAAATATTTAGTTGTTTTTAAACTTGTGTCCACGCTTAAATAGTCTTAAAGGGTATATTGAAAATACTTCAGCTATAACCAGCATGGTGATTTGAAGGAATCACTTAGATTTTGACAGCATTTGGGTTGGTTGTTGGCTTCCCTGACAGAGCCCTGCAGTATTTTTTCCTACACCTTCCCAAACAGTCACAGAGCAGCATTGTGCAGGTGAAAATCAAGGCAGTTTCTGTCTTTGGTCCAGACTAATGTGACCCTTTGAATGTGATCCTTTGTGTTCAATGCTGCTGGCTGTTAATGAGTGGGGAAAAAAGGCATTTTATTAAAGAAAAACAGGAATCCAAAAATAATAATAAAAAAAAGGTAATGGCAGGACCCAGATGAGCCAGATGCTACAGCTGGGGTCATGGTTATTGCTGAGCTCTGGTGACTCCTCTGGATGTGAGTGGGATCTGAACTCTTTGGTACTGAATCTTTAGGCTCCAGCCCCCACGTGCAATATGCCATGGTCTGACCTGGTTCACTGCCAAGTCCAAGTTTTGTCGGCCCAGGAAGGGCCATGGTGTTTCCTTTTATGTGCAGACATTGTTTGTGAGGACGTGACAGAGGCAGCGTGCTCACTGGAGGTGGTGAATTAATGCTATTGCAAGTCTTTGATCACCCACATTGGGTGAAGTTTGATGTATATTCTAAAGTGTGTCCATTACTAACTCCTGAGTTCTTGAGAACTGCTACCACCTTCTTTAAGTCCATTGTGGAAAATTTGACTAGAGACTATACAATAATGGAGTTGAGTCTGTAGTACTACTACTGTTTCATGTGATTGTGGTATTTAGGTCTATTTTTTTCCCAATGTGTAGAATTTTAACATAACACAGGAAATCTAACCTTTCATGCAATGACTTTCTCCAGATATGCTGCATTAAAGGTGAATAACTTGACCCTTGGCTTTTGCAAAGTAATGGAAGATTTCATGTAGCATTTACATCTTCAAAAAACTTTTACAGGTTTTGCTTTTCTAGTCCATGAAAGAAACCTGTATTTGCTATGATACAAACACGCTGAAAATGTAACATTTTATTTCTTTGTAATGGATTTTTTTGCCTTTTTTTTTTTGTGTGTGTGTGTTTGCTCGTGCATTAAATCAGTAGAGCACTATTTGCACAAGCAGAAAATTAACATAGTAACGAGTGTTGCATTTTATGTTTCTTTGTCATGCAGTAAATACTTGCAGCAGAAATGGGAATATTTTCAGTTACTATGAACTTTTTTCAAAGATCTTCGGTACTTTTAAGGAGAGCAATATACATTTGAAGTCACCTTATTTTGTATTAAATTATAAATTGTGCAAAGAAGTGGGTATTGTGGCACAGTAATTTTGTACTGAGATGAAATATATAGCTATTAAAGCTATGGTTTGCTTTTTAACTCATTCTTTTCATCCTAATGCAAATTTGAGTGTTTTTATTAGGTTGTATTTTTCTATGTATATATACAATTTCAAAATACTATGATTGGGTAAGCCGAAAAATGTAAGTATTGATTTGATTCTGATATTTAGAATTTTGGAATAAAATACCTCTTAATCAACAGAAATTCTGCTCTATGTTTGTTTTTGTTGTTGTTGTTGTTCTCTTGGGTGTATTTTTTAAATGCATTAATTAATCAGAAAATATTTCATAGTATATGTTTGTACTCCACAATTATGTGCTAAATTCAGAAAGGTTACATTTATGCAACTTTTACGTTCACACCTCAAGTGGCCCCTTGACTCAAAAAAATTTGTAATCACAAGCAAGAAAAATGATCTAGTCATGGACTATATTCTATCACCAGGAAACTGATTTGCAACAGAAATTTCTACATACCAGAAATAAATATTTTAGACTTTATAGGTGCCACATTGCTGTAGAAAATTGTGACATCTTGTCCTCAGGTTAGGAAAAGTTTCTTGTCTTGTTGTATTATTAGTCTAATTTTATCTCAGTGTTACATTTTTTCTGATTACCAGTCATACTCACCTGTGTGAGTGGGGTGACAGTAATATTTTGTGTCACAATAAAGGCAGACAGGAGAGTGTTTTATTGATAAAACAAACAGTGAGAAGAAAATGTTAGTGCTTGTAAACACTTTAGAAAAACTCCAAACTAGTGAGTTCCCTGGCTTGCTAGTGGAGAATTTGTTAACATAAAGAGAATACTGGAGCTATGCTGCTGGACTTGTTGACTTTGCACACCTGAATGATACTTTATTGTGTGCTTTGATCATTAGTTAGTTTGTAAATGAGCTGTTAATACATTAATACTTTATTGCATATTAGAAAATTAGCATTTTTAAATCACCAGTTCAGGCATTCTCAAGAACGTGGCGAACAATTGGAAATACTTTGTAAAAATCTTCATAGGAACTTCTCATCAATATATTGTCTGATATACATAAATAATTAGGGTTAGTGCTGTCAGCTGCCCATCTTCTCACAAGGTATTTCACAATCAATCTGTTCCTCTGCATCATGATAAACCTGAAAGTTTGGTGCTGAATTATTACCCCTCTTGACAAACATACAGGGCATATTAAGACTAAGTTTAAAGGACACAAAAGTACAACACAGACCTTGCAAATGTGAGAAACAATAGTGACAGTAAAATACCCCATTAGTACTGTTTGTAATTTCACATGCAGGCCAGGCCTGTGTTGTACTGCTTCTGAGAGTCTTGCAGAGTCCATATGGATTGACATTTCTGTGTTGTTTGTGCACACATTTTCAGCCCTGGCAGAACAGCAGATGCCATGTTCAGTGGCTGATGACAATGGCTGTAATTTGTTTAGAGTTTGAAAAGTGTGTAGTAACCCTTAAATACTGCAGGAGTTACTGCTGGACACAGTTCCTCAAGAAAATACTCAAGTAGTTGAAATAAATCACTACAAACCTTCATTTCTTCAAAGAAAATTTATTTAAGAAGACAGTCCTGATTGAGATTATATTTTTGCTGAAATGAATGTTATTGTGTACCCTAATTTTTCTTAGTAATTTTTCTAAATGTAATACAGGCAATTAATTTCCACATGTTATTCCTCTTTTGGAGCCATTTTCAAGAAAGCTTTTATCACACACTTAACAGATTTTTTCCCCCAGAACTTTATAAATTAATAATTGTGCATATTCATATCATCAACATTAATTTAAAATGTTCCAGCTGCCAAGTTGGTTCAACTATTCCTCTCCAAATAATTTATATCCTGGTAAAAGCTCACGTCTGCAAAACATTTGGAAATGAATTTGTGATCCACCCTTTCTCAATGCCACACCCCTCAGTCACCAGACAAATTCCTGAATAAAGGAAGCTCATAGCAGCAGCAAGTTTTCCCTAGGGCCCTTTCTTCCACCTGAGACGACACACGGTTGCAGGGAATCCAAAATTAATTCAGTTCTAAGAGTGGCTGTGCAGGAACAGCCACTTTTCCTTCACAGTGCCCACATAAAAGGCTGAAATTGGAAGCTGGGTGAGAGGATGTTAATTAAGCAAATAGGCACTGAGCATGTCTGCTAAACTAAAAAGAGATTTTTTTTTTCTTTATGAGCTCCTGGAAGAGTTTCATATCAAATAAATGATTGTTTTATTTGTTTGGTTTTTGTGGTCCTTTGTTTCTTTCAAGAAAGGTCCTGTCAAAGGAAATCAGGTTTTCATGGCAAAGGTTTTGGTTCTTTTTTTTTGGTGCTGATGAAGACAAGAGAGATTGACAATAAGGAATAGTATTGAGAAGTACCTGCTGAGGAGGATGTGCATTTCCCACTGCAGCATTACCCTGCGAGCAGTGACTGTTCCAAAATGGTGCCAATGAACTAGCAGCTACTGCAATAAAAGCAAATTGTATTTCCTATGTCAATCCCAAATCTATTTCAAGTCATTGTTAATGGCAGTGAATTAACTACATTGTACTGCATTGTATGATATGGAGGCATAAGGGAAAATATATTAGACTTTCTTCAGATTTTGTAAGAGATACGTTGAAAATATGAACTGTAACCTGTGCACAGTTCTTCCTTTCAGTATGGGCAAATTTATACCCCACTATTGTTTGTGACTCTATTCCTCTGTTTCTCTTCCAATGAAGAAATTTTCTGCAATCTGAAACGACAGGATTTGGCCTAGTATGTTATAGTGCCTAAAATAAACCTTTTGTTTGACTGATCCGTGTTTTGTTAAAAGGCAATTCAAGTAATTTTATACTTTCCAAGGAAGTTTCTATTCACCATTTCAACATTGACTGAAAATTTGGTATGAGCCCATTGTGGAAGTGCTCACAGTGAATGGGATGTTGGCCTCACTGAAATCATCACAGGGGTATGCTCACCCACATCAGTGTGGGATCCCTGTGGGGTGATCCCAGTGTGTGTTCAGCTCTGAAATCCCTGTGGGGTGATCCCAGTGTGTGTTCGGCTCTGAAATCCCTGTGGGGTGATCCCAGTGTGTGTTCAGCTCTGAAATCCCTGTGGGGTGATCCCAGTGTGTGTTCGGCTCTCAGGCATGCAGCTGGCTGCCTGCTCTGGGTCAGTTTGGTTTGTCTGGATGTGCTGCATTTCCTTAGGTTTTGGGTTTTTTTTCCAGCCCCTTTTCCTGCTGGGAACAGCTGCAGTGTTTTTTCCATGACCCCAGCCTGGGCTGTATGGAATCACCCATCTCCCTCAGCCCCTAAAACAACACTAGTCTCCTAAAGCCTTGATCCTACACACAGGCATCTCTCTGCCTTAGGCACACGGTTAATCCTATCAGCAGTTCCTGATATTCCACATTACACTGATCAACAACATGGAGAATAAGTTTTAGCTCTCCTGAGCATAATTTTTTAGAGCTGAGGATGCACACAAGTAAAATTGGAATGCGTGTACCTGTGTTGGTGAGGGCAGAGAAGGGCAGCAGAGCTGGGGGAAGGCTCTGGAGCACCAATGTTCTGGGGATTAGCTGAGGGAGCTGGGGGTGTTTATCCTGGAGAAAAGGCGGCCCAGGGGAGACATTATCGCTCTCCACAACTCCCCGAAATGAAGGCGCAGCCAGAGGGGGGTCGAGCTCTGCTCCCAAGGGATCAGCGACAGGACGAGAGGACACAGCCTTAAGCTATGCCGGGGAGGTTTAAGCTCGATATTAGGCAGAGTTTCTCCACAGAAAGGAAGATTAGACATCGGAACGAAACACCTCGAAGGCCTTTTCCAACGCAGTCGATTCCGTGGTCAGTGAATGGATGCTTCGCTGATTCCGGGGCTGTCCGGGCAGCGCGGCTCCGTGAGGCGCTCCGGCACTGCCGGCAACAAGTGCGGGGGGCGACGTGAGGGCATCCGCTCCGGGGCCGATCGTCCCTCGGAGGCGGCGACCCCGCTCCACTCCTCCTCGGCCCCGCTCCACTCCTCCTCAGCTCCGCTCCGCCCCAGTCCCGCTCCAGCTCCGCCCCGGCACGTCTGTGGGCGGGCGCTGCCTCCGCGGAGCCGGCGGCAGGGCCCCGGTGCGGAGCGCGGTGCCGGCCTCCCGCAATATGCCTCCGCTGCCCTCGGGCTGCTCGCCATGCCGGGCACCTGCGGGCGCCTCTCCGCGCTGCTGCTGCCGCTGCTGCTGCTGCTGACCATGGAGCGGCCGCCTCCTCCCGCCTCGGCCGCCGCCGCCGCCCGCCCGCAGCAGCAGCAGCGAGCGGCTCTGCCCGGGGCCGCCCCCGCCGCGGCATCAGGTACCGACCCCTCCCTGCACCCACCTTCCCTCCTTGCACCCACCTTCCCTCTCTGCACCCACCTTCCCTCTCTGCACCCACCTTCCCTTCCCTCCCTGCGGTTTGGCCGGAGCGGGATCCCCGTTCGGAGCCTGCGGGGCTGAGCGCGGCCGGGAGCGCTCCGGGGAGCGCGCACTGACCCGCACGGGCGAGCGAAGCCTGGCCTTGGCTAGCGGGGCTCCAGGGATTCCTGTTGGCTGGCAGGCATCGCCGCAGGGAGATAGCCCAGCGTCCGCGGAATATAAACACACATATATAGAAATATATATGTGTGTGTGTATCACAGACATATGATTTACGTATTTATTTCTGTATGTATCTGTATCGCTTTAAAAATAAACCGGCTGATAACGTGTGCGAGCATCTTGAGCCTGTCAAACGAGTGATGGGGCTGCTGAGCTCGTTAGTTTTTGCATCCCCTCTGCAGATGCTTATCCAAGACCAAGAAAATAATGTGCTTATTTCGCCTTCAGGCCTTATTTTTGCAATCAATTATTCGAGGGTGCCCCTTTGCAGAACCAGAGCAAACGATGAGGTGTCTGTACTGTCATCTCGTTTAAAAAATATGTGTATAATCTGAAGTTTAGTGGCTCAAATGAGAATATACCGAGTGTTTTTCTTGACGTACTGCCTTTCACCAAAGAATTTCAAGATGGTTTCAAACATGAATTAAGACCTTTTAACACCAAGGCTCCGTTTCGGCATATCACTGGAGCATATGCTTCATTTTTAGCATCTAGGCATGCTTCTGTTTCCAGTTGACTTCAGGAAGGTATAAAATGTGCTTAGTTTTAGGCAGATTGTTAATATTTTCCTGAATTGAAGCCAATTTGCAAAGCTGCCAAAGTATATTTGTTAATTAGGAAATATAAGCAAAGATATTTAATTGCAGTATTTGCTTGCAACTTCTTTAAGATGTAGGACAAGATTTGATAGAAAATGAACAAGGTCTTAAATTTTTCTTGATATATTCTTAAAATGCCTTGATTTGCTCTTCAAGTCTTTTTTTGTGTGGGTTTTGGTTTGTGTTTTTTTATTTTCTGAACAATAAAGCTGTAGCATTTTGAAGAAGGGCATTTAATGAACGTCTTGGTACTTGTTTATTTCATTTTCACTGATGATTTTTCATTAGTTTGCTTCTTATCATACTTTTAGTAGAATATACCATAAATCACCAGCAAACACCACTTAAAAGGCATTGGCAGCATTTCTGACTCGGGCAGTGAACATTTTGCTCATTAAAAATTGAGTGGCAAAAAAAAAGGGTCAGTTTTTCTAATTCAATGATCCTCTTTGGTTTCAGGTATTGATTTCTTTTCAAGAAGCTCGGTTACCTTATATCCTTCAGCCCTGGCCAAGGTCTTTGCTGGTATCTAATATTTTAATGCCTGTTCTGTTGGCTTGCTGTTCTTGTTGCAGACCCACGTGCCCAGACCTTGCTGCTTTCTTTTATTTGCTCATTTGGCATCATAGGTTCTGAGGTATGAGAAAGTGTCTTCTAGTCCACAGCTTTCATGATCCCTCTCAATTTATGAATGTTAAAAATTATCATTTGAGTCAGCTGTCAGCATTTGTTTATGTTAGGCTTAAATGTAGTTAAAGATTTATTTCACTTGTTGGCTGGATTTCTAAATAATCTTGATTAATTTTTTCTTTTATAAAAACTGAAAAAAAGCCAATGGTAAACTTTGGAAAAGATAAGCTAATTACTGCTGTGAAACTTTTATTATTCTGGAGAAGCTACTAAGCACCTTTGGGGTTTTTTTGTGTGGTATTTCAGTAAAGCATGTAGGTAATTTTTGCTTTATTGACATTTTGGACATTTTTTAGCAGGAGAACGTGACTCCAGATGTCTATATAATGGATAGTAATGTGTTTTTATGTTAAATTATCATCTGATGGTTTACAGCTGGCAGTGAGGCAGGATAAATGGCTGCTGCCTTTCCAGCAGGGCAATCCCTCAGGGCAGGGCTCTGAAGAGGCAGCTGCAGGTCCTGCACTGGGGACTGCCAGGCAGGCACTGCCTTCTGCAGGCAAGGACGATTCTGCCCGAATTTGGATTTGTGCCGGGTATTTGTGCCCCCAGTGCTGCCACAGCAAAGGAGATTTATCTTCCCTGACTGGAGCTGGGGCTGGAGTTCCTGCTGCCATTTGACGTTTGCTCCTGTCTGGATGTCCCTGTTCCGTCCAAGCTTGTTACAGATCAATTCCCTCCTGGATTAACTGACTCCTGCCAGTGTCATTGTTGTGCTGTCTGAGGAGAGATGCTGAAGTCAGCACAGCTGTGTGCAGTGTCTGGGGTGCACACTCTGTGCTGACATGCTAGTGCCACATCATGACTGAGAAGGGTTTTTTGTTCATCTCTTCCTCTTCCCCTAAAAACAACAGCAAACTTATCACTGCCAAGAGGAATAAGTAAATTCTATACCAAGGCAGAGAACACACACGAGGGACTCAGTTCATGGAGTTATCCTGACTCGTCTCATCTCACAGATACAGGCATTCTTCCAAATTAAAGAAGAAAACAGAGATTGGAGAGCGAGAGAGACAGGCCTCTCTGGTTAGGGTGGTGAATGCTGGAGTGGAGAACCTGCCTTGGTTCTTCCTTATTCATAATGGTTTTTTGCATTTTGCATGTGGCAGTTTGGAAATCTGGGCTCTGGTGTGCAGGAGCAATTGAAGAGAAGCTGCTGTGTGCTTCAGATATTCATCATTGAGGTCAGCAGGCTTGAGCACAGAATTCAGTGAATTATAGTCCTGGCTCTGATCCAGGCAAAGCTGGTTTTGTTTTCCATGTTCCCTTTTCTTTATCTTTATTGAGGAGCATTCTTTATAGGAGCTGAGAGTTACTTTCTTTAATGTTCATGAAACTTGGGATACCCTGATATCTTCATCCACACTATTATTCTCTTTATAATGCAGATATTGTGCTATAAATAGAGCAGAGACCACTAATTGAATAAGTGATAGTTATCTGTATCAGCTCTGTGGCAGGTCTGACATGTACTGAATGAACAACATGCTCCTGCAGAAGCAGCAGCTGTGTCAGTGGGAGCTGTCACTTTACACAGGGTGACATACAGCATCTTCATGTTGGTGTTTTTGGACCATGTTGAGACAGTAAATTAGACTTGAACGATGTTTTAAAACAGGTGTTATTTTCAAGTGTGGGTAGTCCCTGTACCTTTTCTAATCACAACATGAACAAAAAAAATCCTTGCCCTGTTATTTGTTAGAGGCCATGGCCAATCTGTCTCTTGTTCCAGAGTTAGGGAAAAAGGAGTTTATTTTGATTTGGTGTATTTTTTTTTATATATTTTTTTAAGGCAGATGGCTTTGCATGTGATGGGGAGATTAGCTTGGTTCTGTAGAGTGAAATTCAAAAGCTGTAGCAGCTATCAGTGGTGCTGAACAAAGGTGAGGGGGGATTTGGAGTTGATATGTGCATTTGTTTGTTAATACACAAACCCTTGTTTGTCAAGACAGATGAGATAAATATGTGATTGTTGACAAACCCAGAAGAAAATTAGAGGTTACTTTTTTACCTTCTGGAGACAAATTCCCTGCCTGGATGCTGCCTGTGGAATTTGATTCAGAGCCCATTTCTCAGCACTGTCTGCCTGCATGTGATGCTGAGTGGCTGCCTAATGTGAAGCTGTGTTGTAGACAAGTAATTTCTGGTTCAGAGTCTTCTAAATTCTTTTGTGTGTTGTCTGATCATTCCAGAAGGAGGGAACGTTTTCATGCTTCCTTTTTATTTGTGATACCTAAAGGGAAATGTTTATCCAAAACAATATGTGTGACTTACTGCTTTTTTAATTGTGGTGTTCCATGTTTCTTGCTGGAGAATATTTTTCCTAATGACTTGTATATTGGTGTGTAGTTGATACTTAGGTATTTAGAGTAGGATTTGGTTCTGATACCTTGTAATGTTTGTCTGGGTTTGAATTTGAGCAATAATACATAATAATGCACTTTAAAAACCCCATGGTGCAGTGTGACTGGCTTCTTTGTCACTTGATGGAACAATCTTTATAGCTTACTGTCTCTGAAGTCACTGGATTGGGGATTAGCAGGGCAGCAATGAATCCAGTTTTGTTTTAGAGCTTTTGTTGCAGATACAAGAAAATGAGTGAGGAATTAAAAGCTGTGTGAGAGATTCTTTAGCATTCCAGTAAGGAAGGAAATGCAGTCATTTTCATGCTTAGTGATTATGTAGGATACAGTTCCTGCTCAAGAAGCCAGAGCTGTCTGAGCAGAGACTTCTGATCAGAACTGGCATTATTTGTTTTCTACGAGCAGCAGCACAACCCTCTTACCCTGTAGATACTGGAATATAACTGATGTCAGGGAAAAGGTTTATTTTCAAGTTAAAAGTGCTACACTCACACCCCAGCCAAATGGTTTAGTGCAAGCAAGTTAACTCCACCTATAGAAATAAGCTCAGAAAATGGCCTTTGATTTGCTGTTCATTTTTCTCAGGATTCCCAGCCTCTGGTGTTTACAATAATGGCTTCTCAACTAGGTGAGAAAGAATGAAAGACTTGGACATGTCCTGATTTGTTGGACATGATGTTCTTAGATGTCTGAGCTTTCTGTGTTGTTCTAAGACTTGGTAATGCAACAAAATATCAGTGAGGGCTGAGGGGGGTAAAGCATCTGCAGTTCGAAATGGGAATGAATAAGGAAAAAGAAATGTTCATAGGTGCACATGCTCCAGGATATAGGTGACTCAGTTGCTAATACAAGAGGAGTTTGGTTTTTTTCATGGTAAAGCAGACATGAAAAATATATGTACTACTTTTTTTTTTTTTTTTTTCTTCAGGAAGAGAATCTGCATAAACACAGGGGTACTGAGGAGTTCTGAAGAGTAAGACATCTCTCCTGAGCTGAAAGCTTGCTTTCATTGAAGCCTGTAATACATTATACAGCATCATGCTCTGTACTTCAGAAAGCTTGAT